AAATTTTCAATGCAATATCCACCCAAATGTTTGACTTCAACACCAAATACCTTAGGGGCTCAGAGCTTTTCTGTTATTTATTTTGTGCATTCACCTTTCTATCTAAACTGCTGTGTGATGTGCCTTAAACATGGCCAAAAATACCAGTTAGGTCAATACACATCATACAATTTTAGTATTTTCAGGTGTTGGTAAAACAGCAAATGTAACAGAATTTAAAACAATTCATTGTCTTTCCATAACAAGAACATCATAAATATATATTATATACAAATTTTAAATGTACATCAAACAAAGTCATTATTGGAAGAGAAATAAGGCAAACATGGTAACTTTTACTATTTGGATTTATATAAGATATTTACTTGGCAGAACCAACTTGCTGTGAATTTCTTATTAATAATGTAGTAATTCCCCCATTAGGATCATTCCATTGATTGCACTTATTTACTACCCATATTTACATTTATTTACACACACAATAACATAGAAAAGAAAACTGTCAGTCACTTGCAAATTCATAAACAAAAATTAATGAATCTTAAGGGTATTTCAGAACCAAAAGTTTCAAATGGTATACTCTGATAGTGTGGAAACCACAAATAAAATTTACTAGTTTTAGAGGTTAAACTCGTGAAAAGGGTTACCATATTTATGGCATGACCAGACAAATAAAATCAAAATACTATTACAATTTCTCATTTACAAATATGGCAGTCTAGATTTTTCCAAAACTGACAGCATAAAATTAACAAGAAAAGAATACGCCGTAGAAAATGCAATATCTTATTCAAAAACAAATCCCCAGCACAGTCAAACTATTTACAGGTTTGTGATAATAACAACATCTATCAAAAAAATATCTAGAACTCTAAAATTCAGCATATTCAAATTCATCAAGATATTTATAGAACAGCATCATTCGTCAGAATGCTACATCATCATTATCAAGATATACCTGACTTGAACCCTAAAAGTTCTGATTGACAGCCTGCATAAAAATGGCTATTTACCTTAAAAAGCATCACGTATTCTTCAAAATATTATTTGAGTCTGAATCTCTGTCTAAATAACGTCCTCCATCATGAAAATGAAAACATAGGCAAAATTTTGGTTCAACAATTTTAGGTCCAACTGAACTGTCCTCGCATATTGCCATCTATCAAATTCCATCCATCAACCAAAATCTTCGACAAACTTTGAACATCTTCATAAGAAATCCGCTGATTCAAATTAAAAATCATCTTATATTTGACTCCTTTCACTCACTCTGAAGTACAATTGCTGCTCTTCTGCAAGCAAATATCTCCACAGCTTTCCAACAACAATCATGGCCGTTGATGTGGAAACGAGGTTTCAATCTGCTCACTTTCCAAGGTTCTCTCCCTCAACTGGCTACCGAACATAGTTCGCATCCACCTTCACCACATTCGCAAAAAAATTTCCCATGTACATTTCCTATTGGTTTTCAGATGGCTAAATAACATAGCTGGACTGACATTCGCACAAATTTTTGGCATACATTTTTCAGTACTACTTCGTTTGCGCACGCATGCCTAATATATTATAATTCCATTCGACATTCGCATCAAACCTTATTGGTGCTCTGTGAATTTATGCGTAAAAGGGGGAGCCCTCTTTCGAATATATCATCTCTAAATCACGAAAACGAGGGAATAAAACCTAAAAAGTAAACAACAAGGTGACATCATAGCAACTAGGCAGGAAACAAAACTTTTATTTCTTGTATTCTGTGGACCTTTTTTTTATTATCTGGCCATTTCTAGTACAATATTCACAATGCTGAAATGTATAAACAGACAATTACAAAAAGACATGTGGAAATCTGACATTCGCCAGTGCGAATGTTGCGAATGTCTGGATCCGCCCCTGCTATTAACTTGCCAAAATAGCTAAATTTTTTAGCAAGGATTTCTCTATTAAAAACCTGCCTAAATGTACTGTAAATAAGCCATAAAATGATTTAAATCGACTTTGGACTTTACTTAAGGCTTTTTTTTGCTGTAAAATTGCAGCTTTCTTGAGTAAAAATTTTCGCAAAAAGGCAAAGCTATTAATTTGCCAAAATAGCTAAATTTTTTAGCAAGGATTTTTCTATCAAAATCCTGCCTAAATGTACCGTAAATAAGCCATAAAAAGATTTAAATCGACTTTGGACTTTACTTAAGGCTATTTTTTGCTGTAAAATTGCATATTACTTGACTAAGAATTATGGTTAAAAAAGCAAGGCTATTGGCTTGCCGAAATAGCTAAATTTTTTAGCAAGGATTTTTCTATCAAAATCCTGCCTAAATGTACCGTAAATAAGCCATACAATGATTTAAATGGACTTTTGACATTACTTAAGGCTATTCTTTGCTCTAAAATTGCAGCTTTCTTGAGTAAGAATTTTCGTAAAAAGGCAAGGCTATTAACTTGCCAAAATAGCTAAATGTTTTAGCAAGAATTTCTCTATTAAAATCCTGCCTAAATGTACCGTAAATAAGCCATAAAATGATTTAAATACACATTTGACTTTACTTAAGGCTATTCTTTGCTCCAAAATTGCAGCTTTCTTGAGTAAGAATTTTCGCAAAAAGTCAAGGCTATTAACTTGCCAAAATAGCTAAATTTTTTAGCAAGGATTTTTCTATCAAAACCCTGCCTAAATGTACTGTAGATAAGCCATAAAATGATTTAAATCGACTTTTGACTTTACTTAAGGCTATTCTTTACTCTAAAATTGCATATTACTTGACTAAGAATTATGGTTAAAAAAGCAAGGCTATTAACTTGCCAAAATAGCTAAATTTTTTAGCAAGAATTTCTCTATTAAAAACCTGCGTAAATGTACCGTAAATAAGCCATAAAATGATTTAAATCGACTTTTGACATTACTTAAGGCTATTCTTGCTCTAAAATTGCAGCTTTCTTGAGTAAGAATTTTCGCAAAAAGGCAAGGCTATTAACTTGCCAAAATAGCTAAATTTTTTAGCAAGGATTTCTCTATTAAAAACCTGCCTAAATGTACTGTAAATAAGCCATAAAATGATTTAAATCGACTTTGGACTTTACTTAAGGCTTTTTTTTGCTGTAAAATTGCAGCTTTCTTGAGTAAAAATTTTCGCAAAAAGGCAAAGCTATTAATTTGCCAAAATAGCTAAATTTTTTAGCAAGGATTTTTCTATCAAAATCCTGCCTAAATGTACCGTAAATAAGCCATAAAAAGATTTAAATCGACTTTGGACTTTACTTAAGGCTATTTTTTGCTGTAAAATTGCATATTACTTGACTAAGAATTATGGTTAAAAAAGCAAGGCTATTGGCTTGCCGAAATAGCTAAATTTTTTAGCAAGGATTTTTCTATCAAAATCCTGCCTAAATGTACCGTAAATAAGCCATAAAAGATTTAAATGGACTTTTGACATTACTTAAGGCTATTCTTTGCTCTAAAATTGCAGCTTTCTTGAGTAAGAATTTTCGTAAAAAGGCAAGGCTATTAACTTGCCAAAATAGCTAAATGTTTTAGCAAGAATTTCTCTATTAAAAACCTGCGTAAATGTACTGTAAATAAGCCATAAAATGATATAAATCGACTTTGGACTTTACTTAGGGCTATTTTTTGCTGTAAAATTGCATATTTCTTGACTAAGAATTTTGGTTAAAAAAGCAAGGTTATTAACTTGCCAAAATAGCTAAAATTTTTAGCAAGGATTTTTCTTTCAAAATCCTGCCTAAATGTACCGTAAATAAGCCATAAAATGATTTAAATGGACTTTTGACATTACTTAAGGCTATTCTTTGCTCTAAAATTGCAGCTTTCTTGAGTAAGAATTTTCGCAAAAAGGGAAGGCTATTAACTTGCCAAAATAGCTAAATTTTTTAGCAAGGATTTTTCTATCAAAAACCTGCCTAAATGTACTGTAAATTAGCCATAAAATTATTTAAATACACATTTGACTTTACTTAAGGCTATTCTTTGCTCCAAAATTGCAGCTTTCTTGAGTAAGAATTTTCGCAAAAAGGCAAAGCTATTAACTTGCCTAAATAGCTTAATTTTCAGCAAGGATTTTTCTGTCAAAAACCTGCCTAAATGTACTGAAAATAAGCCATAAAATGATTTAATTCGACTTTTGACTTTACTTAAGGCTTTTTTTTGCTCTAAAGTTGCAGCTTTCTTGAGTAAGAACTTTCGCAAAAAAGCAAGGCTATTAGATTGCCAAAATATCTAAAGTTTTTAGCAAGGATTTTTCTATCAAGAACCTGCCTAAATGTACTGTTAATAAGGCATTAAATTCTTTCAATCTTCTTTCTACTGTATTTGAGGCTGTATTTTGCTGTAAAAATAGCAGCTTTTTTGAGTAAGAATTTTCGAAAAAGCAAGGCTATTAGTTTGACAAAATAGCCAAATTTTTTAATAATGAATTTTTATCCAAAATTTGGCTCAACATGCTGTAAATATGCCTAAAGAAGTGCATGGTTATAAAAAATGGAAGGCTATAGGCTCTCCAAAATAGTTCAATTTATTTAAACGATACTTCATGTTTTTAAATAGAAACGAAATAACTTACCTGGATAACTTTTACAACATTAATAGCCTGAAGAAATTTGTCAAAAAGTTAGGCTACATGCTTAAGAAAATTATCAAATTTTAGGGTCAAATGTTTTGAACAATAAATCAGTTTTCTTGATGTAGTAACGAAACAGCTCTCCTAGATTGCTTTTACAGAAAAAATGTTCTGGTTATTTAAAAAAACGTCATTAGTTTCATCAAAAAGTAAGGCTAGAGGCTTAACAAAATTATCAAATTTTAAGATCAAATTTTTTCCAATAATATACCATTCTTATTGATTTTCAAATAATATACCATTCTTAGAGTAAGGAATTTACTTTTTCAAAATCTTTTCACAGCAATCTTTATCCGTTTATTTAAGAAAATGTCAATGATTTTAGTTTTTGATCAAATTTATATTGAATATTTGATCAAAAAGTTAGGCTCGTGAAAAATATTGCTTTAAAGGTGTCGATTTATAAAATAATTAAGTGCTTAGAATTTATTTAGTTATGTTCATATTATCACTTTATTTACTTTTAATGACCACATCTGTTTTGATCAGAAAGTAAAACTACAGGTTACATCATGAAATATTTTCAATACACACTTATTCAGCTGAGGAATGTTATCAAAAAATAAGGATTGATTAATATGCATTTGTTAAATCATTATTATCATGAATAAAAAGCTATTTCTTTGATTTAACAAGAAAATATAGCAATGTCTTTTTTTACCCATTTGAAAATGGTGAAGTTCAAAAGATTCAATTTTATAAAATTTTGCAAGGTCACAATTGGTAAAAACATTGTTTGCCAATGTAGCAAGGAATGATTTTGACGGAGGTTCTTACCAGCATTCTAGATGCGATGATTTAATGAAATTTTAGATACAATTTATTATCAAAGATACAATATATTGTTAGAGCCTTACGAAAACTATCGGCTCTTCTGACCAAGGTTTTAACAGGCAAAAGCTTTTGTGTTTGATATTTAATGAAATGCGGAGGTCAGAAGATTTTCAGTCAGTCTAAACATAATTCTTTCTTGAAATTTCAAAGATTATGTGCCGCCAGATTTTGTTAAGAAAGTAAAGTGTTAGATGTTAGAAAGAAATAGTGGTTTGTGTTCAGGATTTTAATCAATTTACTAGTAACATAGATAGAAGAGATGCTGGTAATTACCCATTTTTTGATCAAAAAAGAAAACTACCATTTATAGAAAGTTGAAGGCTGTTTGAAATAATAGAAAGTTTTACAAGATTTCATTGAAATAGGTAGCTTTTAAAGTATTTTGATTTGAAAGTAACGGTTTTCGGCAGTCAAGACAATTTTCAGATACTTTAAGCCAAGGCAGTTTGCCTTAGGTCCCGATAGCAAACGATGCTAAGGTGCATGTGTATCATCGAGAAAAGAAATAGTTCAGTCATACAGAAAAGAAAAACGAGCATTTTAAAGGCCTGGTTTATCTATAAAAAATTGTTATCTACAAGCTCAAATAATTTTTTATCTTTTCTAATTTTATTTCTGACCTATTCATGCCATTTTTTTTCAATAAAACGTTGCAATGTTTCCATAATAATAAAAAACAAGTAGCAAAGTTATACGCTGGCTGTATGCAAACCAAGTACTCTTTCCAAAATATATTATTGGGGATATTAAACTTCGAAGTATTCTCGTCTGTTTTCACATGGGCCTATTTAAGTAATGGGCCTAACCCTGCAGCACAAATAGAACCTACCTTGCACCTAATCTGGCCCTGCCTGAAGGTAGCATATCTGAAAGTTACTTATTTGGTACAGAGAGTGAAGCAGCTCTGTTGCAAAACGTATTTGAAATCACGCCATATGATCTTAGCGTTACTAATTGTGTTATAATGTGTGATTTGTTGCTTGATTCCAAGACGGTGCACAGTTTGAATGGGATTAAAAAATATTACACCCTTCTTCGGTTTGATACTGTATGCGCACTTTAATCAACCTGGTTCAGATATCATCTTCCCAGTTCTAATAATTTCCTCTCCTAGAGGCAAAAAATACATCGAATCATCTAGCCTCGTCATCAAATGTGTATACGAAATTCGTTTGCTGTTTTCCTACACAAACACCGTCTGTCGGTGCACATGCTTTGAATCCAAAAGAAATACACATGTCCTGGTCCGCCTCTCCATCAACGGCATATGTCTGCCCTGCCTGTGACCCCGACCAACACGACCCTAGAAAATTGATTGGAGTATTCATTTAAATGTTTTGTAATATCAGGCTATTTATTCTACCTTAATTTACGTTATTTAATAAACAATGTTTTTATTGTAAGTAAAAAAGCTTTTTCAAAAAATCAAAAATTTGAAATCATGTATGTAGTATGTAATGTAGATGGAGGGCCCCTTGAAAACCAGCTTCTCCGCTGAAGGGCCACCCTTCCTAAAGAATTTAAAGAAATGAAATGAAATATGCAAATATATAAAGATAATTTATTGAAACTTATGCATAATTATACACAATCAGGGGCGTCGCGACCGGGAGATGTGGAGGGGGGGGGGGTGCCACACCCCCCAATAGTATATGAATAAAAGATTTCAGGCAAAATCCGCTCGGCGGAAGAAACGCTTTAGGTATTTTAGAGACCTTCATGTCATAAAATCAATAAAGGATCAAGCAAAGGTAGTTGCTCCGTTGGTTAAATATGATATTCCTTGATTTGAACATAGTCATAAGAACGGAGCAACGGATTACCTTCATTCAAATCATATACCGTTCTTATGACTATGATTTGAATGAAGGTAAACAAACTAATGATTTGAAGATTTCTTGCTGGCACTAAATCGAAAAATCCAGGCCCTCTTTAGGTAAAATTGTGTCTTGTGTCCATTTCCCCTAAAGTTGCTCGGTAGAAGCGTCAACTGCAATTCACTATGAGCTTCAGATTTTTTTTAACATTCAAAGGACATGCTAAGATGGAAAAAGGGATCTAAATTGGCAACCAGTGCTGCTTGTTACCTAGCTTCAGAAGTAACTGATAACATGGTATTTCTCAAGACCACGGCGAAATTGTATCAGTTGTTTTTATCTGCTGTTCAATTTGTTTGCAAAAAAAATTATTTTCAATAGGATTAGGAGGATTGCTTTGGTGAAATGTGCTTGAAAGAGTGCATTTTCCAGGGAACCGACCATGGTGCCGCCTCGGGTAGTAACTATATACTTTGCCTGTTCCGATATAGAGATTTGACAAAATTATTAGGAAAATTCCGTTATTATCAAATTAAAATGAAAGTTGCGAATTATATACAGAGTTAGATTGACAAAATGCACTGCAGAGGTTTGTGACAGCAACTAAAGAATTTCAGGCAAAAGGTTTTTAATCAGGTAAATTTGCAGTCCACCAACCCCCCCCCCATCCCCATACCCCCCCCCACAAGGCTTGCCTCGCGACGGTCCTGTACACAATCATTGGATTTCATTTCTCTATTACATGGGCTGTACTGTATTGATTTCGAAAGAACAAAAATGACTCTTGCAAACAATTTCCTTAATAATAAGCAAGAGGTGAAAATTGGTCAGTTGATCACAAATTCAAGGGAGCCGAGTTCCTCAAGTCCAAATAAGCACAAAACTCTAGTTTTAAGAAAACGATCTCCATTGATCTTTAGTTCTTGCATCTTTCGTTTGACCTTTTCGGTAATTAGATAAAGAATGAACATTGTTGGGGTAAAGTTATAGAATTAGCAAGGCCGTCACATTTTCAAGCATATAGCAGGCACCACGGAGCGCTGAGAAAAGTGGGGGGTCTAAAAAAGTGGGGGGGGGGGCTAAAACCGTATAAAAAGAGACTTCAGTGGTAGTTTAGTACTTTATATTTGGCATTTCATGCAAAAAGTTGGGGGGGGGCTAAAGCCCCTAGCCCCCTTGCTCCGCGGTGCCTGTATATAGAATATTATATAAAATTCCACGCATGCCTAGCGGAATAAAGGAAATTGATATTTCAAACCCAATAAAAAGAAACAATATAATATTCAATGTTAGTTAATGTAATATCGAAATCCAGCAAGTCAAATTTAATTATATTGCGCAATGATTGTTGATCTTTTGATGAGAACTGGTTTTTGCCTTTAGCGTGCAAGCCTTCAGGCTGATTATAGGTTCCCTATCTTTGTATTGAAAGCATTAAATACAGAGGCAGTGCCACGGGGAGGACTTTGGAGGGCTTGTCTTCCCCAATATTCCCGATTCTCGTCAAGATCGATTTTATAATTTGTATAAGTCCGATGAGAAAATATAAGGGAGGAGGGGTGGTCTGTGTGCCTTTATTGCTTGAAGTATTCAGCCATAATGATGTCAAGATCCCCAGTCTTCCCCATTTCCGGAGGCTGATGCGGCATCTGATTAATAAAGCTTGACTTACCAAACATCTGCACGCCGAAGACATTATACCCTTTTCGATTTGCCATCTCTGCACACCTGCAGACAATAGTTGGCAGATATTTGTCCCAGTTGTCATAGTCCACATGTCTACCAGTGGCAACAGGCGAAGTAGGGCTGTTGTCCGTGAAGAGTTCTTCGGACAAGGGTCGCGGGTTGTTGCCGTCATCACTGTAACATCCTAACTTGGCGTATTTTACACTACAACCTAAAAAAATATTTGTTGTCATTTTACTTTGAGAACCGATTCCTAATCACTATTTATTGATTTCTGAAATATGGTTATAGATTTTTCGCGAACCCATAAAGACCCTGTTCAAATTAATATTTGTCGACATATCCGGCGACTTAAGGCTGAAATACACGATCAGTTTTATCAGTTTTTGACTGATAGCTTTCAGTCTCTCAAAGCAGATATCCTCCAAACATGATCAGTTTTCTTCACTTTTTGACTGACAGCTCATTCTGTTTTGATATATAGCTTGATCATGAACGAACTGCAGTTCTTTTTGCTACAGCTTTAGTCGTCAAGAAAATTGCGAAAATACCAAAAAATGAAAAAAGAGATCGTTTTCAAACTATTCGCAATTCGAAACTACTTTTGAGTCAAACGTCACATCGCATAACGATTTTCCGTACTTCCACGCATATAAAAATTCATCTAGGTTTGTAACTTTTCCACATTTTGAAATCAATGCTGCTCTGAAAAAGTTTGCATCTTGTGCTAGGGTATTAGAGTTGCGCCGGATTAAAACAATAGACTTTGCACCAATGAATAGAAATCCCATCAGTTAGAAACTGACGAACGTGTTCAATTTCTTCAGTCAAAAACTGATGTTCATTAATGCATCAGTTTTTGTCAGTTTTTGCTAAATACACCATCAGTTTTTGACTAAAAGCTGAAAACTGTCAGTTAAAAACTAATATAAACTGATCGTTTATAAGGAATCTTTTATTCATTCCTTGTAAAGCCTTTCTCTCTTTATTTACAACTTTATCGTTCATTCAAACTGTTATTAACTTATTTCTTACCATAAGGACCGGTTGGCGTATATAGCGAACCGGCTAATGGTTGTGAAACCGAACCACCGAGAGTGAGATGGATACCATCAGTCAATGCATTCACAACAGATACCCAACCTTAAAGACAAAAAAGTGAGACATATGTAGACGCATCACAAACGGACAAATATACAAAAGACATGAATGAGTAAGACGGCGAAATCCATTGCAGAAACCCTCTTTCTATATGACGTCATATATTGAAGCACATTTTTTGAAATATTTATTAGAACAATTTATGCCACTTGCTCTACAAGTTACACAACTTAAAAAACAAAAGTTTTCAATTATGTCGTATTTCTTTTGAAATTTTTTCAACAATTAAGTGTTAAATCTCATAAAAACGCATTCAATCATTCGAACAGTTTACAGAGGTAAAAACATGCTCTCGAAGGCAGTTGAAATTCGCATGCGACGGAGAGACTGTTTCAAGTTTATGAAGATACTAAAAAGAAAAAAACTTAACTTATTTTTATACTAAAGAGAACACCGTCTTCATGACTTCATAAACATACATGAGACCCTGAATCACACCAAACTACTAAACTTTTGCGATTTTAAGTTGCACCTACAAAAAACTGTTTAACGGAAATACGATACACGATATATGTTACAAAATAGAGAAATAATAGTGATAAAAAAATTACTGGTAGTGAAAGATTTGAGTCTTGATAAAAGGCAATGATCCAGAGAGGTGTGAAGTTAAGGTGCTAAGTCAAATATCGTTCGTTAACAGAAGAATGTGAGATGTGAGAACAGTAGAATTAACTTTTTCTAAGAGATCAGAATTAAATATTCTTAAGAAAGGCAAAGAATTAAATAGACATTTATAATTTGGAATTTTTAGATTCAGTATGATAAATTTATGTTACCTGGTGAATGGTTAGTTTTTATAGAGCCAAGTTTGTTTCTCAACCATCTTTGTGTTACCCTCAGCAACAAAATCAGTAGTTAAACAGACACAACACATAGTTGATATAAACTGTCATTTGTAATACATAGCATCCTTGCATTTACTTTGCTGCAACGGGCTCTAGAGATTTTACAGATTTTATCTTAACAATTTAAATTAAATAAAACCATTTCATCCTCGTTGCATTTGGCTAGATATACCGTGTTTCACAAGAAGGAAAAAGGGTCACGTGCTAATAACGTTTAAAGAGCTGAACTGGAAAATTCAAAAAGCGTTAGACTGAAACAGAACTTGGTGCTTTGAGAAATGTTTTCTTGGGAAAAGCAAACTTGACTAACAGATGTTGGGTATTTTTTACAATTAATGTCAGTTTATTAATTAAGCAAGAAAAATTTAATTAAGTCACACGGTTAAGGTCTCTTGACAGCTGAAATTATTTCCCAGATTAACGAGAAACGTCAAGTCGAGATAATTTGCCTATTTCAAATAAAAATGTAAGAGCTTTGCCATGAAGCTTCAATTCAAACCAAAAATTGACAATAACTCAGCTCGAAGCATATTTACTACTGTGTGGCTCATATTGCATTGAGAACAACAGGTTATTTCGTATGTGATACTGATAGCCATTTTCAATATTTCAAATTAGAACTGGTCTTCATGTCCAAGGGTTTTGTCTGTATCTAAATCCTCTTTATAGAATGGATGAAACGGGGGCGGATCCAGAGCAAATTTGAAGGAGGGGCAGTTGGTAGTGGGGGCGCTGAAAATTCTCAAAAATTGATGACGAGAGTACGCTGTATACAACAATTTCAGATCCATTTTCGGAATAAACAACATAACTTTGAGGTAATCTTTGAAGCAAATTAACCTATCGGTTTCAAAAACCTTTTCACCTGATTCCCATTCTTCAAAAGGGGTGCACAATTTTCAAAGAAAGGGCGCCAGACTTGCTTCAACTCGTTGAAGGAGGGGCAACTGCCCCTAGCTGCCCCCCTTGAATCCGCCACTGGGATGAAATTACACAAAATTTCCCTGGGAAAAATCTACAGTTATGGAAAGGTTTGCACTTCTACGTTTCTTGAATGCAATCTTCATTATTAGTACGTCCTAAAAAACATCTCTTACACAGCTATGATTTTATACAACGAAATAGCAGTTTGGTATAGATATCAATAAAATTAAAAACAAACTGAGGGCAAAACAAGATGGCGGTGAGAAATAAACTTCAGCTGCCAAAAGATACAAAGACAGTAGGTAACAGTTAGTTAATATTCTTATGTCCAATAGCTATGTTAATCTTCGTTTATTGTTACTGAAATCATCATGCTTTAACAATACTTAAAGTTTAAAGTTTACGTCAATTGATAAACTTGTTAAGGTAAAGGAAGCATTTGGACAAAGTTAAATCAACATAGCATGGCATAGATACATGAAATAAAAGTGGTTAGGAGTTTTGATGCAGAACACAGAAAAAACTGCCATCGGTTGCTCAAAAGTAGGAGCAATAAAGAGAGGAGAACGATATGGTAGCCAGATACTTATGCATTAGAAATGAAATCAGGCTTACAAATATGCCTATTTCATTGCTTGTTCAAATGAATGTTGTTAGTTAAAATTTACTAAACCATTTGACAACTTAGGATTTCTACTTGACCAAATTGACAGCCAATAAAATGATTCATTATAAAATTAGTAATTAAAAAAATATTGAGCCAAAAATGCATCTTAGACCAAGTTTTAGGCCATTTGTGACTGATAAAATTTATCCAAGCTTTTTTCAGTTCGAAATGTTTGGCATGCATATCTTGTTTGTAGCTTAAATTTAGGGTGATTGATCAAACTAAGTTCTGTAAAACTTCATCTCCTAGCAACATTTTATGTTATTCTATAACAGAAAATACTATAACTGAGATCAGCACCCATGCCTCCGGGGGGGGGGGGGGAGAGGGGAGGGGCGGTGTGGCCATGACCCCTCAACTTTTTGCGAAACAAGTAGTTTTAAAGCTGCAGTAGAAGGGAAAGAAGCCTTGGCCCCCTACTTTAGCTAGCCTGCCCCACTCCACTTTCAAATTCGTAACGTAGGCCCTGGGGAATATTAGAGGGATTTTAGACTTCGTGTGCAATAAAAATCAAAATGTCTGTTGTTGAACTAACCAAAAAGAAAGCTAAAAGTCAAACAGTACCATGACAAATCCGTGTTGCTATCGGCTCCACTACAGTCAGTATTTGGTCAAACGTTGGCACTTGGTACACATGCTGTGTGCTAGGATCAGTAGCCATGATCTTCAGCTCTTCTGGGGCCGCATGGGCAGTTACACCGACAACGAACACCTCAACGCCAGCCTCCTGGAGCTCTCTTGCAGGCTCGACTATCATCTGGCTCCAATTTATAGTTGGATCGTCACCTGAAAAGGAGGAAGAGATTGGTAATTGAAACTGCATAAGATGTCTAAGGGGCCATCTTGTCCTACAGCCCCGATTAGAGAGGCAGAGAGTGTTTCTTATGAAAAGATACGTTTTGGCTGCTTTTGTAATTTCACAGTCTTTTAATGCCCAATGGTCATGGCACCAGTTAAATCTATACCATTTTGACAGACTGAAATGGCCTTTCTAACGGTTTACTCCTTCAAATATAAGGATTCGTTAACCAGGATTAGGTTTCGTTACATCCGATACCCCTAACTCTAAACCCTTTCTTAACCTTATTCAGTCACAGCCTTGGCTTGCGTCCTTATTCTCATGTTATCTTATGTTCGTGGGAAAGCTCCGTCAGAACCAGAAAAGAGTGTAAGGGATAAGTAAACCAATAACCAGTGATGATGATTACCGTTTGCCCGTCCATTTGTTACAATAACCATCGCGCGACGAACTCCAGCTCTTGCTGTGCGGAATAAATCATCTCGGGCAATTTTCAATGCGTCATCTGTTCGCCTTTTTCCATAGGGGTTCATCAGAAGTTTTTGAACGTGCACTTTTAGCATTTCTGCGTCATTGTACGTTTCAAGCCTGATGGGAAATTTTGCTATCGTGTCGAACTGCACGACGCCAAAACGCGCGTATTCCCCCATTTTGAAATGATCGATCAGAGACTTTGCAAAATTTTTAATATAGCCCCAACGACCGCGAACGCCTGCTGATGAATCCAAAACCAGGCCAATATCAACCGGAGTAGCACACTTTTGAACATCTGAAAAATATAGAATGATAGATAAAATGGAACTTAGCACAGGTTTGCAAGGTATAAATCAACATTTCAAAAAGTTTCTTCAGCCAGGAAAAAAACGGCCTAAGTTTTTCCAAATTTTTAGCATAAAAGTTTGTAACTAATTTACGTTGGTATTACAATGCAATTAGCAGTGGGCCTAGAGTTGATACTTGCCGAACAACACAATTAGACTATCGAAACTTTGAGTCAATACAGCGTACTTACTGAACAAAATTACTTTCTGTTATTCTATATGACTGAAAAATCGCTTTTGGTGGCATTCCAGGAACAAAATCTTATATCTCCTCTTTAATTTTGCAAGATTCTGTAGTGAACTGTATCAAACGATTCCTAAACTTTGGAACATCCCGAAATCCATAGGATTAACATAACACTATTTGCTATAATGCAATCGAAAGTAACTTGGCTTGATGGATAATTGTACACGACGAACAAACAGCTGTTGACCGAAGACAATTTTTTCAAAAATTACTGAAACATTTAGTATATAGAAACACTGAACGGGGATCAAGGGCACGTAATCAACTTCATCGTGTAAGAGTGACAAGGGATTATCCTCACAAACAGGTTTTGCTGAGACCTACAACCCTTATTAACTCAATAATTCAGACAACAGGGAATAATTCAATATTTAAGCTGGAAAATCCTAAAACTTAATTTAAGATGGAAAGTCATCGTGCATATAGAGAAATACCTTGATTACAGCACGTACCCGCGGCGGGAGCAGCAGGAGGGAGCGGATTGGCAGGGACGGTTGGATGTGGCCTTGTCACTGGATTTATTACGACTGGGGCAACGGCTGGTTTGGCCGCTTCAACGGGAAACGCCGCATTCACCTCTACATGAGCCACTGGTGTAGTTGCATGCGGCACAACACCTGTCTGTACAGTTGTACCAATCATTGGCTGCATGGTGGGTACAGTAGCGGGATGCTGGTGATGGTGATGATGATGCCAAGTAGGCTTGCTTGGTTGGGCAACTGTTTCCGGGTGTAAATGATCATCAACAACTGCTGTAGGCTTTGCAGCTACAACAGTAACATGTCCTTCTGCATGCATCTCGACAGGTCTTACCGCCGGCTCTGGCGCAGGAACACAAGGAGGAAGTGCCTTTGTTGGCACATGAACAACAGGTGGCGGGTTGGGTTCAGGTGGCGGGCAAACCGGGGGCGCTGGTTTACATGGTGGGCATGTAGGCGCTGTTGGTTTGCAAGGAGGGCAGGTAGGTGCCACGGGTTTGCAAGGAGGTGGGGGAGGTACTACAGGTGGTGGCACGTTGTGAACCTCTGTTGGTACAACGGGTTGACAGGGTGGTGAAGGTATGGCTGGCGATGGCGGTAATACTGCTGGTGCTGTTGGTGTGGCACTAAAATTGAGCAATATCATCAGTTCTAAATTATATCAAAATTAAAGCAAATAAACAGATTTTGTGTAAAAATAATATTCAGAAAGAGCTCCTCTAATGCTCTTGCCTTGTTTAAAAATGTTTCAGTTTTAGGGAAGAAGCTGAAACTGAAAAACAGCCAATTTTAGAAACCAAGACAAATGGACAAGCGTCTAAACGTCTAGGCCTTTTAATAATTTTAAATCATCAAGAAATGAATAAGATATAGAATAAATGATGAAATACATTAGAAAATCTCACATCAAATGAAGATGGTTTGTTGGCAAGATCGTTGGAGGGTGCGCCACTGGTAAAGTCGGGTGCATGTGTGCTAAGGGTGAGATTGTAGTTACAACTGCATGTCCCTGTTTGTCGTGACCATGTACAGCTTCAACATGAGCTGGCTCTGCCGCTGCTATAATGTGCGGGTGGGCTGTAGCAGTGGGGACTAGTAGAGCAGGTGAGGGTACAGCAACTGGTAAGGGGGGAGGGGGCGGAGGAGGGACTACGGATGGTGGAGCAGGAGGTGGGATGAATGCTGGAGGTGGAATAGGAGCTGGGGGTGGAAAAGGTGCTGGGGGTGGAATAGGTGCTGGGGGTGGAATAGGTGCTGGGACAGGGGCGGTTTCAGGGAGAGCTGGAGGCGGAGGAGGTGGAACCGTAGGTGTGACGTCTACGAAAGAATTTATCACAATTATTAAGATGTGGAGTAAAGAGATTTATAAAAATATTCTGGCTTTTAAAGCCGTATGTTGCAATTAAAAATTCTCAGTGAAAGACCATCCTCTACCTTTTCAAACTTGAAAGAAAATTCAGCTTTAATTGGGGGAAGCTGTTGTACCAAAAAAATGGTACTCAAAGATTAACATTTTTTCGAATGGTCAAGGAAAAGGGGAGGGGATATCTGTAATGTGTTCCCTATCTTTACTCGGTGAAACAATTTCGGCCATTCCATATTTATATATTTACGTTTTTATTCCATATTCTATGCAGAAGGCGAATTACTCATA